ACAGCAAGCAAATGGCTGCTTGTGGTGTGGGAGAGCAACATCAATCACCTTTAAAAATCCCTCTTCTGTTCTAGTGACAATGGTCTGTACAAAACCAGAGCTGAGGCTGCATCATCCCTGTTTTCTGAGATCGATAGCAGAGCAGCAGAAACATGCTTTGGGCTGCTGCAAGGCCTCTCTCACAGTGCTTTTACTTTAGAAAACCAGAAGAGAGTCTGCCTTCCCTGCTTGAATTATAAATATAAGCTTTCTCTTTGTAATCCCTTAAAATGAAAATGAACTTCACAGAAGAAAGCCAACATTTGCAAGTCTTTTTTTCACTGCAAAAGATAGAGGAGGGGAACCCTACCTTGGCAAGAGACATGCATCACAGGATTTGAAGTGAACAGAAAAAAGCAGAGTATCCTACCAAAGACACTATGTTCTGCAGGCTGGAACAGTCCAAGATGTCTCTCTCTGCAGTGAAACAGCATCTAACTCTCAGAGCAGCTACAGAAAACTGCCTGGCATTCATTTCATTTTCCTTGTAGGACCAAGTTTTCCCCTTGGAGCCACATGCCCAGACAGCTCAGCGCTGATGGCAGTTGTCATCTTCCCTGCAGCCTTGGGGAGCACAACCCTTTCCTTGCAGATGAGAGGTCAGCATTGGCTCACATTCCCATTGTGGGAAGTTATGGCAGCCCCATGACTGGCTCTTGGTGACAGGCATCAAACACCACCATCAAACACTTGGTTGGTAGGGCCAAGTTTCTCCAAAAATAGAGCTCATTTGTACCCAAACCACATGCTTGATGTATTCACACTATGCTACAAGGCAATAAATAAACCTGGAAAACCAGTAAGGGATGAAACACTTTCCTCCATGGCCTGTTAGATAGAGGTATTCTGCTGTGTAGCTCTCTTCTCTAACTAGATTTACTTGTGCAACCTTAACATTTTTAATATTGTTTTTGTGTCTGCAGTAGATATTTTCTACTGTCCTTGTTCCCTGCTTTTACGCAGTCCATTTCCCTTTGTCACTTGAACAGAACCATGCCTCCGTGGAAAGTCTATCATCACAGAAAGTGAAAGGCAAGGAGGAGAAATACCCACTGTTCAAATGAATGGCTCAGTTGATTAATGCCAGAATGCAGCTTCAGCTTAATTTGGCTGCCCCAGCATTTGCTGCCACTGGGCAAAAAGGTTCCCCCACTCCAAAGAGATGCCTAATAAATACACACTCCTTCCACCTTCTGTTTGGTGGGCATGCAGGGGTCCTCATGGGAACACCAGTCATATGGTGTTAAAGTACAAAAGCAATCTGTTCACATCTGTCTACTCTGCCACCGCCAAGGGCGAGACCAAGCTACAGACCCCATTACATTTGGGCCACATCTATTTTCCTGCATTCCCTGTAGTTAATGTATTTTATTATTATTATTGCTCCTTGCCACACTGTCAGCTAATGGCTGATATTCTCATAGGAAAATGGCTGATTTTCTTCCAGGAAAATCCCTGCCAAGCTCAATCATGTCTATAGAACCCTACTGCCCATTTGAAGGGAAATCCACAGGGAAGAAATCCCACTCCAGCCACACTCCAAGTGATGCAGCTGATGGCTTCATATGTGCCAGAGGGTGAACCCGGTGAACCAGCCTTGAGGGAGCAGCTGAAAAGCTGGACAGCTTTACTGGACCAGCCCAGCCTGTGCTGATAGGAAGGGGAGCAGAAAGGAATTGTCTTGCTCACAAACTTGGCATCCTGGGGAGGCCAAAGCCACGTCAAATGCTTTTCTGCCTGTGCTGTGAACCTCTGTGAGGCCACAGAGTGACCTTCCCACGAGGCTGTCAAAACCTAAACCAAAATAAACCACCTTTAGCTCCACGGCCCAGCTCAACGCTGCATCTCCTGAGCACCCAGTGCAAAACAACAAAAACCTTTCAACAGAAACTTTCCTTTCTAGAAGGTGTTTGGGAGATTACATCACCAGGGACTGTAGCGACAGGACAAGGGGCGATGGGTTTAGACTGAAACAGGGGAAGATCAGGCTGAAGATAAGGAAGAAGTTCTTTACTGTGAGGATGCTGAGGTGGTAGCACAGGATACCCAAAGAAGTGGTGAATGCTCTGTTCCTGGCAGTGTTAAAGGGCAGGTTGGACAGAGCCTTGGGCAAGGTGGTCTAGTGAGAAGCATTCCTGCCCATGGTAGGGGTTTGGAACTGGGTGATCTTAAGGTCTTTTTCAACACAAATGATTCTATGATTTTACGAAAGCATGAACCTACCACAGGTAGGTAACATCATGTGGGCCATAGCAGTTGCTCCCATATGTATTGTTGCTTCAAGTTAAGATAAATTAGATCCTGTGATAGTATTACATAGGATGAGCCTTCCAAAAAAGGAGAGCCACACTACTGTGTCTACTAAGTCTGTAAGAAAGTGAAACAACAAACGTTATAAAAAAGCTTGTGTATCTGCCACTGATGCAGGTACAATAGAACAGGCTCCTTCCTGCCTGCCTAGATCCAGTCCATTACTTTTTACTTAATGCTCTTTTTTATATATTTATTTTACATTTAGTACACAGAATAAACAGCTCACAGGGAGCAGATGCGAGTGCTGTGATTTAACACCATCGGTGCTGCAGCAGTTCTGCTGCACAGGAGTACAAAGTGACAGAGCCATGTATTATGCCACACATTGGCTTTTCTCTCCCTTTTTGTTTAAATTAAACTCTTTGTATAAATAGTCATTCTGGCTGATTATATAATGTCCCACATTTAGATCGTCTGTGTTGCAACCATGGCAACTCCCCGAGCCGAATGCATTTGGTTCAAATTTCTTTCTAAACTTGCTGATGAGGGTGAAGAAACAGCTTTGGAAACCCTGCTCAGACAACCTACATTTGTTCTTTGCACGGAGAGCTCAGGCCAGCTTGGATTGACAAGACCCAACAGCCTAAATGGGTTAGGAGCCAGTGCCCATCTTATCCTAGCGTAACCGATTGCATCTGTGATGCAAGCTATGGATATCAGCAAGGTCATCAAGAAGTATCTATATTTTGTTTAATGATGATTAAGTAGGAGAACTGAGCCATGGTGGAGCTGGAGAATGACATCTCCAGGGCACAGAGCAGGCAGCACCCACAGGAGCTGTGCAGACTTTTTTGCCTTGCTTCACCAGCAAGCTTCAGCTTTGGTTTGGAAAACACAGTACTGAAGCTAAAGCATTCCAAAATGATTTTCTCATGTGGCTAATAACCCAACTGAGGGCAACATTAGCTGCATGAGTGCTGATACCTGCTCCTCATTTTCCACCTGCAGAACGTGACTCCCTGGTCAGATGAATGGGAGCAGCTCAGCCACAAAGTTGTGGAGACTTTGCTCAAACTGCACAAACACTGCAAGAATTCCACACCATAACCTGACACTGATGCCCTGAGACTGCCAGCACCTCCTTCCCCACTGCTCTGCATGGAATTTGCAAAGGGAAAGTAAAGCAAGAGCCCACGTTGTGTGTAAGGTGGAGAAAGCATCAGCAGAGTTTAAAGAAGTTTAAACAAGAATTTGATTAGGTAACTTTCCTGCTAATCATCATGGGCACCAACTGTATTTGTTTATATTGTAATTATTTCTATTCATAAATTATTGTAGTAGCTGCCAGAGGGGAGACTGAGCTGAGCTCTTAGGCAGAAGCTCTTCCCTGTGAGGGTGCTGAGGCGCTGGCACAGGGTGCCCAGAGAAGCTGTGGCTGCCCCATCCCTGGCAGTGCTCAAGGCCAGGTGGGACACAGGGGCTTGGAGCAAGCTGCTCCAGTGGAAGGGGTCCCTGCCTGTGGCAGGGGTTGGAGCTGGAGGAGCTTTAAGGTCCCTTCCAACCCAAACCCCTCTTTGATTCTTGGTATTTTCTTCAAAAGTCTGAATCATTGCAATTATGTTTTTATTTTCCTTATGGCACAAATACCCCAGATGAAACATGCAGTCAGATTTTTAAGTAATGCGGCTGTGAAAATGTCCCATACTGATGTCTAATGCCAAAATGCGCCATAAGCAAAAGTCAGATGCAGTGGTTTTGCACTTGCAGCTCTTCAAAGTCTACTAGAATTGAACTCCTACTGTGTTAGCCATTGGATAACACCTATGGTCAAGTTGGAGAATTTATACAAGTTAAACCATTCATGTACAGTTGCCCACGTGTGTCACAGAACTAACTTCTGTACCACACTAGGGTTTGTGGGCACCCTCAGATAAACCCTGAGAGACTTCAGACCCATTTTCAGTCTAGTTATAAATCTGCCTCACAGTCTAGAGATTGTTATCCACATACAAGCATGACAAGGACTGTAATCTAATCCAGGAAACAGAAAAATATTCCTTCAGACTCTATTTAAATCGCACAGCAACAAGTGAAAGCAAGGGTGTCACACTGGTTTCAGACGATTTAGAGCTTGCACAGAATTCAATCTCTTGCTTCAGTTGAGTATTTACAACAATAAAAGGTCCAGCCATGCACAGTTAATTCATGTTACAATTGCACTTACAGAAAGCAAGCAGCAATCAGTATCTCATGTAGACACTGATTTTGATTATACTTAATCAATGGTGATGCTAATAACTTGCTTATATAAATTAATTTCTTTCCAATTACATCTTAATTGCTAGTCTGGCTATACCAGAGAGGCCTAGAAATTGCACAACAATAACCTATATATAGTTTTGTCTAACACTGATGGGAGCTTTGACACCATTAAGTGCTGGTCTGCATGCTGCAGACTGGAGGGAGAACAGAGATCGGAGATCAAATGCAATAATTAATTATGTGCATTTGAAATTGAATAGGAGAAAAACCTTTAAAAACCAAGCTTGCTGAGTTTATACATTAACAGCAGCTTGTCGCATTAATTTGGTTTCTCAATGATGCTTTAGAATTCCTTTTTCACTACACGAGGAGAAGGGACATCTTCTGCCAGGGTTAATACTTTTGTGGAGATGCTGAACTAATTTGAAATGTGTCTATTCTCCTACCTGCAGGCAATGATCTCTTTGTTACCTTCTTCCTTGCTTGATAATCCCATGGAGGACTGAATAAACTCAGCCATTCAAAGGAATAACAGCAGCAGTGCTGGCCTGATACATTCACAAACCCACCAGGACTCAGGGTAAAACGGGGAGGGTGTTTAAATAAGCAAATAAAAAGCCACCTGAGCTTCATTTGCAGAACAATGTAGCAGGAGCTTCTCCAGGAGCCAAGTCACCAACTGAATTGACAGAGGTTTAGCCTCTTGTTGGGCATTATTCACGCTTCTTCATTAGGTTGCTCCCTGGACACCTCAGCAAACCTTGACTGTGACTTTCTCTTTGATCTTCTGTGCCCAAATCACCTGCTTCAATGTAATCCTGGGAACCTTTCAAGAAGTCTGTATTCATGGACCAGGCTGGACCTATTTCCATTTGAAAGGGCAGCTGGTGCAAATCATGGCTGGAGCAGCTCAGTAGGGGTGGCCATAGCTGATTTGAGCTGAGATCATGAAAGGGCAGGAAAGAAAGAGATAGGAAGGCTTGTATTAAACTAAAAATGCGGATCAGGTATCCCCATTCCAGAGGCAGGAGAAAGAGTTAAGAGATAACCTCCTCCCCCTGATTTATGCCCACTGTCACTGCTTAGCCCTGCTCTGCTTGTGCTGGCTCATGGGGAGAAACCTTTACCACAGCCTGGAGCCTTGTTTTGCTGCTTCAGTGTTAGCAAGTAAATCTGGTAATGCCTTTAGTAGAAATCAGGCAAGATAAAGTTGTTTTGCCCTGATGCTGGTGGCATTTTCTGGATGTATTTTCAAGACTGTATCCTTCTCCCTGTACCCTGCGTGGAAAGTGTTTGCCAACTTCAAACGGATCCAGCGGTGTTTAAAGGCAATAGTAACGATATCTATCTACAAGTGCTCTGAATTTAGGTCTACAGCATTTGTTTAGCCAAGCCACAATTACTGTTTCAAGCTTTTTACATAAATGCAATCTCTCCAGTTTCCCTTCCATCTTTTACATTGCTTTGGAGCCCTACTAGTCTGACAACTTCCCTTTTTTGGAGAAATTCAATTGTAAGATAGTATTATATTGGTGTTTTTGATACTCTTGTTATTTCTTTCCCTTTTTCTTACTACACATGCATTTTGCTATTGCATGACTAGTGCCTTCTTACTGCAAGACTCTGTGAATGAGATTACCTAATACGGTACATTTGTCATCTGGTCTATTGAAGTAAATATAGAGGTGAGTAGTTTGCATAAGTCTGAGTGTCTAAACTTAATGCACTCTTTTGACAACATCTATATTTTTCTATACATGTGTCAAAGCAATCTTATGATTAGCTGCAGAAGAACATGCTCATTAGTGTCCCTTGGGAAACTGCCCTGCATTTCAATATGAGACAGCTTACTTCTCTTAACAGCTATGCTACGAAAGGCTATTTGTTCTGAAGTATTTCAGTGGTGCTCCATTTTGCTGTTTGAATTTGGATCACTTGAGATTGCCTCAGACGTGCCAGCAGAGATGCTCGAGCAAACACAGCTCAGGAGGATATTACAAGACCAAAAGCAAGGAAACCCAGCACCAAAATCCAGCTGTACACAAAATGTAAAATACCATAGAAATAAAAGCAGTGGCTGTTGCTATCAGGAGCTGAACATTTTCTGTAATAATCAGCGTGATAGAGAAAACACTGAGCTGTTCCCCTATAGCTTCCCCCCCTCCCACCCCGTATTCACTCCAGAAGCAGGAACAGAATGAATGAATACAATTACTATGGTAATTTCCTATTTTCTAACTATATAGAGGCCATTTGGAGATCCTGGTATCATAATAGTTGGTAATTGTTGAGTTCTTAATGGCTACTGTAAGGTTGGCCCAATAATGCTACAAAAATAACTAGGCAAAGAGCATAACTGTTTAGACATTCACTGTTATTATGAGTGGCCCTTATAAAAAGAATTAGTTTATGTAAGTCATATTTCATGAAGGCAAATGAAATCTCAAATGTCATTATAATAATTATATCTGCTCGATGTTTAATTACTCTACCTAATGAGCCAGCAGTGCTATAATGGACAGGTAAAGCTCTGATGATACTGTCTTTCTCTTGTAATCTGGTTTCTAAAGGAGGACAGAAGGTTTCAGTGTTTATAGCAGCACACGATGAATGATGTTACACTTTCCATGATTTCCAGAATGTGATTAGTTGGGGCTATTCTGCTTCTGCAAAGCACTGCTCATGTCACAGAAGCGTGAGTTGGGCTCTGACATGAGCCCAACATTTTCTTGCTCCTGCAAATACTCCTGTTGATGTTGATTATAGCACAAATAAATGATCACTAATGTGTGAGCAAGGTGACCATAATGAGAGGTCTGCAAAAAAAGGAACGGTCATTAAAATCATAAGGAAACAGCATTTAAAACAAAATGTATGAATATGTGAAACAGTGGTTTAAATTAAACAAAATACTTTTTTTTTTTTTTTTATTTTGGATACTTTGAAGAGTAAAGGATAAATGGAAGTAGAGTGGTGGACCTAGGAAAAGGTTTTGCCACCATTTACAAAACAGTAGGGAAAATAGGATACAACCCTTCTGGTCCTATATACCAAGTGTTAAAGGACTCATCCAAAATGATGAAGATTCAGGTTCAAGTCCTCCACTGCACTGACTTAGAGTGGCAATTTGACTCAAATACTCCTGTTTTTTATGAGAGTATCCCAGTCACTAGACTTAAGTCTTCTGCCACAGCTCTGTTCCTCTTGCTGTTAGGTTTCCCAGTCTGGTGGCTAAGCACTCAGGGACAGAGGAGAGCACTTTGGTTCCATCTCTGTTCAAATAAAGAGTATCTAACTCAGCTCTTATCCTCCAGGCCAAAGTATCCAGTCATGGTCACAACCTCACACTAAGACATAAACCAAAATAGTTGATGAATTCCCTACTCCCCACCCTGATACTGTTATTAAAGGAGAGCTTGGATGATGTGTAACAGACCTACCTATTATGGTGTGGGAGCTAGCACTATTATTAACTGTGTAAAATCCTCATTCCAGGCAGCTGAGAATGTGCACAAGCACCAAGAAAAGCAAAAACTGATGCTGGGGGACTGCAGACATTGATTTGTTGTGATCCTGTTTTAAAAAGAAAGAGAAATGAAGCATGGGAGCTCTCAAACAGGAGAGCGTGAAGGTTAAGTGTCAGAGGAAGCAACAACCGAAGTAAAGTATTCCTCAAGTTTTCTGTCCTAATACTGGGGGAAACAATAAGGTTAAGGCTCATTAACACACTGTATGAGTCTAGTGGTATTTGCAAAATGCCATGTGTTTCAGCCTCATGTAAAGATGAAATACGGTATGCATGTATGTCTGTCTTTCAAAACCTTGCCCCGAAGCCCACTGATCTGTGGAAGAACCACACTGCTGGCAAGAAGGGGGAAGATGCAGCAAACTGCTGCCCAATTACCCAGACCTAGGAGGAAACAACCTTTTTATGCAGAATTTCTCCTGGCTGGTATTTTAACAATACAAGACTCTGATTTCAATACCATCAGAATTCTCCTAGGCTGCAGGTGGATCTAAGCTGCAGAAATAGAGTCAGGTTTCATTTTAGTCTGAAGTATTAAAACTGCTGACAATTAAACTGAATTGTATGAATAAGCTCCTTAACAGAATGCACCACTGGGCTTTCATCCAGCCTAGTGCTGGCAGGAAAAGGGAAATCTATATGCACAGTGTCTGTCAATGTCCCGTAACCTGGGAGAAGAGGGCTTTATCACGGTTTATTAGAAACATGTAAGGATCCTGATCTGCCTGCCTTTTCAGGCAAACTTCATTTTTCCTTTCCATGAAGTGTTGCATTAATAGTGCTTGTCCTCAACAACCTGCTTTTCCCTTGCCACATTTTCTTGAAGGGAAATTTCTAGGTGTAATTATTGGTTTTGGCTCTACCTGCCCTAACAACAGACATGAAAAGTCTGAACAAAGAAGGCCCAGTATTTTTCTGTCTGGAGCTATCCTTTCTGAAATATTGATGTTTCGATTCCTCTAGGGTGGCTTCTTTATTTGCTGCTTCTAATGCAACCGGTGTCTAACTGTATCTGCCTCTGCATAAGGACTGCAGGAAGCAAAGATGTTGTTGGGGCCCAGGGGTCAGTTGTTTTCTATTTCATTTCTCTTTGGTTTAATTTCAGTTTATTTCCCTTTATTCTATCACTTATGGAGATCTGAAGGCAACTACTCAGGTTGAATAAATTCAAATAATGTTACCAATAACTGGATATAGCCTTAGCATGGACTTCTGTAACGCTATAAACCAGCCTATTTTCATGTTACATAAAGTAGGCTGAAGGAAGGGACAGATGACCAACATGGCATTGTGAGGTCAGAATTTTTGTCCCTTGAGCCAACAGTTTCTGACTCCCTGTTTTTTCCTATGCTCTGATTTTGTCACATTCTTACAATTACTAACAGGACAAGTCCAAACCCCAGAGCAAATGCTGCAAGACTGTGCAGGACTTTAGAAGCAGATTCTTGTGTTCATCAGTGATTTGTTTCTAACAAGCACTATCATGGTGATAAATGCCCAAAATATGTCTTTAATGTCTGTGAACTGTGGCAGAGCTGTATACCTTTCCATCCCAATAAAGCATCTCAGAGCCCTTACCCTAGAAGATAGAGATCTTGATTGGAATATGGGATAAAATAGTGTTCAGGGAAGAGTTCGTGGATCCAAGAGACTGCTTGGGTACTGTAGGCTCTGTAGAGAGAATTAAATACTCCAGAGAGAAGAGATGAAGGAAAACATTCCAAAGCAAACCCAAAAATCACAAAGGTGAAAACTGAAGCCTTTAACCCAAGACACAGAGTGGTCAGTGACAAAGCATACAAAAATGTAAACCGGGTAAAGGAACCACGGCTGAAGCAAGGTATGAAGAATACAGACACTTATAACGAATTTGTTTCCTTTATATGAGTGTAGCAAGGAGTAGAATATAAGTAGCTGGGTACAGTTTACAACCATGTTACTGCATAGGCACAGGTAACAGTGTCTAGAGGCAAATAGACCCACCAACCCTTCAGTGAAGCAAACCAACTGTGTTACAAGATACAGGAGCAGAAGCCAAAGCCTGAACAACAACAAACGATAA